GGGGGTGTGTGGGGTAGGGTCTACTCATGGGTATCTTTAAGAAGTTAAACAGATAGCTTTCCCATGTGGCTTGGGCTGAGCACCTCTGCTTCAAAGGTAAGGGATCCGTCCCAGGGCACCCTTTTAATCTAATGATTTGTAAAGAAGAATAAAGTATATAAGACAGATAACTGATCAAGGCCATCTTAAGCAGGCCTGTTTGGTGCATTGTATTTTAAAGTAAAATTGTCAGGGGTGCCTGGCTGGCTCAGTCAGTATAGCATGTGACTCTTGAGTTCAAGGTCATTAGTTCAAATCCTGCATAGAGCTTACTTAAAAATAAATAAAAGAGATTCCTGCCTTAAATAATAAAGTAAAATTGCCAAAAATTTCCAGAATAACAAGCTCTCCTATTTACTTGTTCATGTCCTACAGCAGTTTTGACTAAAATCACTGTACTCCCCCTTTCTGCTACAAGATGGAGATGTGGGGTAAAACAGGTATGATACATAATTCGGCTATAATGACCTTTGCTCCAGATGACCAACTGAAAATGGGACATTAATGAAATTACATTCTATACAAAAGATCACAGATCAGATCAGGATCAAAAGATGCAAAAGGATGGCCACTTTTATTTTTTTATAATATTTATTTATTTTTGAGAGACAGAGACAGAGCACAAGTGGGGGAAGGGCAGAGAGAGAGGGAGACACAGAATCCGAAGCAGGCTCCAGGCTCTGAGCTGTCAGCACAGAGCCCGACGCGGGACTTGAACTCACAGACCACGAGATCATGACCTGAGCCCAAGTCTGATGCTTTTACCAACTGAGCCACTCAGGCATCCCAAGAATGGCTACTTTTAAAATCATAATGGTCCATATCACTGATTTTTTAAATACTTATCTAGGGCTCTGTATCTATACAACAGTTGTTCCAAACCCTTAGGTTAACCTAAAAACCTAAAGAAATAGAAGACAAATGAAAGCTTATGACAAGGAATGGTCCAACAAGCTATTTCACGACTATACCAATGTTTTCCAAACTTTTATGAAACAGAATCCAAATATATAACACAGATGAACAAGAGGGCATCTGTGACTGAAACCGAGCAGAGGGTCCAAAATCCTGGCCCTTTCTGCTTCCCCACCCCTGGCTGGCCTTTCTCTCCACTGTCTTCTTTTGGCACACCCATGGTTCTATGCAATTTCAAAATCACTGCCCTATATGTATGTTCCACTTTCACCTGCTTTTTAAATAAGGTGGAGGGAATGAGCAGTTATCCACACTCTGCATAACTTCTCATGCCTTTAAGCAGTTAAGTGCCCTTTGATTTCACTTAGTCCCATGCTGCCACTTCTCTGCTACAAAGTACCAGTCAGTTACTGGTGGCTGGGTGGCTCAATCAGTTAAGCATATGACTTCAGCTAAAGTCATGGTCCCAAGGCTCGTGAGTTCGAGCCCCGCATCGGTCTCTGTGCTGAAAGCTCAGAGCCTGGAGCCTGCTTTGGATTCTGCGACTCCCTCTCTCTCTCTGCCCTTCCTGTGCTCATGCTCTGTCTCTCAAAAAATAAATAAGTGTTAAAAATAAATAAATATAAACAAACATTTAAAAAATAAAAGATGTCAAAAATGTTTAAAAGCCCTAATAATTTTCCTTTAACATGAACAGAAATCCTAGTGGTTTTTTCATTTGTTTCTAGGTATGTGGAGTTTTATTCGAGAATGCAATGTATAACTTACTCAGAATAATCTGGAAGTTGCTCTTCACCTCTTGAGCCTACTAAGGTAAGTAATACCTAAATTTAAATGAAACACAAAAACATACTAACATTCTGTCTCTTAGCTCTCAAGCATCTGTTTTTGCATTGGATGTTACCAACTTTGTTCTGAATCCTCCATAATTTCAACCTGCCCCGATTTATTCCAGCACCCTAGAAGAAATGGGCAAATTACAGGGCCTTATTATTGGTATTTACTCTGCCTAGATTATGCGATCGGGTTTGAACCAATTTCCTAGTTAATGTCTCTCCCTCTGATCCAAAACACACATAGGTTGAGCCCCTATGAAATAAATTGCAGACATTTAACTATTTTTGACCTACAAGAACAATAATTATTTATATTCACCCATAGTTTAATACATCTTTTCTTTTTTCTTTAAGTAATCTCTACACCCAGCATGGGGCTCAAACTCATGAATCTGAGATCAAGAGTCACATGCTCTACCGACTGAGCCAGCGAGGTGCCCCGATACATTTTCTTAATATTTTCCATTCCTCCTATTATTAAAAGAAAATGCTGGTCTTATGCTTTTGAACTTCACTAAGTAACTGAACTAATGAATGACTCACTGACAAGTATTTCTAACAAGCTTTTGAACCCCAGGATTGCAGGGTGCCCATGTCACTTATGTGTGACTTAACCACACATATTTACACATACATTCTGTATCCATCACTCCTAAAGCCAAATTTAGTATGCATCTGTCCATTCTTTTCTTAGCTGCACGCATGCATGCACACACACACACATACACACAAAGGCAGATCAGTGCCACAGAAAGACAAGTGAAAGAATTCATTTTTTCTTGAAACTCATTCACCACAAAGCAAATATGAGAGGTCTCAAATACGGAAAATGGCTGTCATGTTTTACCTTCACTGTCAAAGGTAAACAAAATGGCACATACACTCTACTAGGTCTGACACACCACTCTCACATCCTTTTAAATCACTGAATTGTGGAAGGAGAGCGTGATTCCTATTTTCCCATGAGTTCCCCTTTCTATCAGACCAAGCTGAATAAAATGGTGTGGATTAAGTGTGTTCGCTTTTCCCAATCCCATGCTATTTCTATATTTAATAAACAAGCAAAAAAACTCCCCTCACCCATCTGTCCTGCTCTCCTAGAGATGAATTTGGCCTCCTTTGCTAAAATTACAAAACATCAAACAATTCAAAACAGCATGCCCTGGAAAATGTGAGAAATTCTTAGTATTCCAAATTCTATAACTTGAGACAAGGTTAGCCACCTAAAATGCCTTAAAAATAGGAATTGCAAAGAAAGCAAACATTACATGACAATTCTGAGACTTTAAACTGTTTCATAAAGGCCCCAAGGGTATGGGAAATCCTAAAATGATCTCATATGTAGTCACATGTCACTGCTTACCGGGAAATAACACTCCACATTCCAAATAGATTAAATTCCTAACCTGTTTATATGCTCTATTCTAATTATGTTCCACTCTGAAGAACTCTTTATTAGCTAACCACTATACAGACTGAAATCTCACTATAAAACATGTGTACGTCCTACAACACGGAAGACTACCCCTTTAAATCATCACCTACAGAATCAGAATGTTGAAGCATGTTGTGGATGGGTCTTCTGGTTCTGAGAGTATCGGAGAATCATTAAAATCCTGAAGACTGTTTTTCTTTAAAGACTCATTAGGGCACAATTTAGCATTAAGCATTTATTAAAACACGTAACAAGACAAAGGTTGTATTCAGTTTTAAAAATGAACAGAAAAGCTTTGGCCTTTTTCATTTACATTAAGTGCAAGCCATCGGTACGGATTATGGTATTCTGCTGAAGCCTCAGCACCCTGACAGAGCCCTTACTGCAACGCAGAAGATACTTTTCTTTAAAGGGTTCAGTACGTGGGAGGGACCATGTTAGGCAGCTAAAATATTTATTATCTCATGTACTCTTCACCATAAGGTGCTTAACTCTTAAGAGTTGTGAGAATGCCTCCCAGAATTGCTTCTCAATTTCATACCGCTTTGAAAATACATTTCTGGGGGTAGGGCCCCAGCATTGGTACATTTTTAAAAGCTCATCAGGGGATTCTGATGCAAAACCACAACCTAGAATCACTGTCATATTTAAAAGCAGCAGGATCTTAACTCAAAAATAATCCTCAGCAGCACAGCTGACCCTCTCCAATACACCATAAACTCTGCAAGGGCCTTGAGAAACTCTCCAACAGGCTTCCCTCACATCCTGGGTTTCCACCTTCTACTGACCTCCTGCTGTCACAATGTCCCACAGAACTACAAACATCAAGCAAAACAAGGAAGCAAACAACCTGACACTCCTTTTTCTGAAAAATTGCGAATACCTTTTGTTTTGGGTCAAGCAGCGTGTATGAATAGTAGGGGTGCTTTGGAGCAGAAATTTTCTCATTTCTCTACACAGAACTGTGTTCACTTAGACAGAATTTGCTACTTGCAGGATATAAATATGTGGGGTATCAACGAGACAGCAGCCAGAAAGAGTTTAGCTAAATTGTCCGAGCAATTAATCAAAATGGAAGTGTAACTCCCATCATTTGAACCTCCCCTCCGAAGCCAAAATAAAATGCCAAGATTACTTTCAGTATTTTCAACAATGTACTTATTTTCAAAGTGTTCTTTAAGAAGTGCTTCATAGCCAGGGGTGGGAGGAAGGGGGGAGGGGGTGCCCTGAGTGGCTCAGTAGGTTAAGCATCCAATTCTTGACTTCAGTCAGCTCAGGTCATTGTGAGATAAAGCCCCTTGTGGGGCTCCATGCTGTTTGGGATTCTCGCTCTCCCTCTGCCCCTACCCTGCTAGTGCTCTCTCTCAAAATAAAGGGGTGCCTGGCTGGCTCAGTCAGGAGAGCAGGCAACTCTAGATCTCAGGATTGTTGAGTTCAAGCCCCATGGTGGGTGTAGAGATGACTTAGAAATAAAAGCTTAAAAAAAAAAGTGCTCCACATATTTTCCCATAGTTTTCTTGGTTACAACGTATGTGAAATAGGGGAATTCAATTATGAACAGTTCATTTAAGAACAGAAATAAGGTGAATCTTTAGTTATACACTGACCCAACTAATTAATAAGCCACAACACACTATATTATCTGTGTGCTTTTCATGCTTTACCCTCTGGCTTTTAAAATTCTATCAAGTATTTCCATGAAGTTTCATAGTCCCCCCCAACATGGCAAAAGCACCCATGACATTAGTTAGTAAATTCCTAATTAAACAAGAACCCAGTTCAAATCCTTTCCATAATAAAGTTCTCTGGCGTGAATTTCAATCCAAATTTTTAATATTTAGGGCACCACCAAATTCCACCATTCAACAGTACCTAGTGCAACAAATCAAGAGACATGCACTTACCTGATCTAAGAATTCTTGGGGGCAGGCTTCCCACACAGTTGCACAATATAAATTGTAAAAATTGTTAACACGATACATATAAGAAAATAAAAGTTGTTGGTTCAAGATTAACTCCTATATATACAGAGTCAAAGTCCAAAACCTATGGAACAGGGGCACCAGGTTTGTTGAGCATGTGACTGTTGATCTCAGGGTCATGAGTTCAAGCTCCATATTGGGTGTAGAGATTATATAAAATAAATAAAACTTAAAAAAAAAATCTATTGAACACCTTTCTTTGGGGAAGCTCACTCACCATAAAAATGGATATATATAAAAAAAAGACCATATTACAGCAGTGGTAGGGTGAACTAAGTGAATGACAAGGCAGGAAAGGGAACAATGGGGACTTGACCCAAAAAGGCCACATTGGTGAGGAGGGGTGGGAATTGTTTGAGAACCAATATGGAAGAACACAATGAAAAGGTATCAGACCTATTCTCTAGTCCTAGTTTCATAATCATCTCTGGACCTCTGCTTCTTCAGTTCTAAAACAGGGGTTACAATTAGGTAATCTAAATCTTTCCAGCTCTAATATTCTGTTCATTGGTTCTATAGCTGTATCCTTCCCCATATTTGAATTTAAAAACTGTGGTACCCTGCGTATTTAAAGCTTTAAGAGTGGATACATGTAAATACCTTCTGTCCCTCAACATTCTCAAGAACAAAGACTCTGTTTTGGGTTAGGGAATATTTACTCATCAGCATGAGAGTCAGAATGGTTAAGTGATTGGGGGAACCTGGGAGTGGCTCAGCCCTTTAAGCTTGATTTCAGCTCATGGTTTGTGAGATCCAGCCTTACATCATCTGGCTCTACACAGGGCAGAGCCCGCATGGGATTCTCTCCCTCCCTCTCTCAAAATAAACAAACATTTAAAAAAAGAAAAGAAAAGAAAAGAAAAAGGGTAAACTGAGTGATTTATCAGCAGAGTTAGCAAAATCACCGTTTTTTCCTAGCTGCATGTACTAACCCATTCTGCCAGGTAGTGTTACACAGAACTCGACTTGGGAGTAAATCCACATCATGACCCGATTTTTGCTAGTAAAGTTGCAGATTTGGAACTAAGCTTACTAAACAAAGGGGCTGAAACATCAGTTGCTAGTCATTTATACACTTTGTTATTCTTTGTTTTGCACCTGTCTGTCAGGAATGCAGTGTAGCTTTAGTTCTTCCTTGAAATGTTACTTCTAGCAGGCCTACTCATTTCAGGGCTTTTTCTAAGCTTCAACTTTTCTACTTAATATTCTTCAGAATAAAGAAAACAGCTCATTTTAAACAAGAAGTTTATTTAAACAACGAGACGTTTGACTTGAAGGGAAAACTATCTAGGATTCATTTCTTTTAGAGTAATTTATCCCTACTTAAAGACAGATTGCCCTACATGTAACAGCTACGTACAAAAAAGTTATAAAATTGTCCTTGGTTTTACAATGATAAATGAAAAACATTAAAATTCTCCAATCGAACAAGGTATGCAAGGATTTTTATGTTGTTCTTTTTTTGTTAAACAGTGAGAGCAAAATAACTTACTGGAATATAAAGATAAGAGCTGAATGAGCATGCCACTAATGGAGAAAGGGGGTATTTTCACAGAACCAGTATTTTTCCCCATCCCATCTCCATTTGATGTCGGTCAAAACATACCATTGGCCATTTAGTTAAAAAAAAAATGCAAAATGCTTGCGCACATACACAGTTACTTTATGTACAATAAAGGAATGGGGAAGGGGAAAATGAAAGAATAGAGAAAACTATACTGTAGTAGTCAGGATGTGGTGGAACCAAATTGCGGTTTTCTAATTGAGAATGTCTTCTTGGTCTGGAGGAACAGAGTTCTGGAGTAAAGTAGCAGGTTCCCTTTTTAGTAGACACCTCCTGTCTGCTGCTGGAACACATCAATTGTATCTTCATCCTCCATTTCCAACTAGCATGAAAGAGATAAAACAAAAAAAAAAACACAAATGGAGGGTCACTGATTATCAGCTCTTAAATCTGTAACTATCAGACTTAAGTACCCTGAAAAACTACACAAGTTCCACCCAATTCCAGTGTTCGTTATTTTAAACCCCTAGCTTAATGTAGCATCAGGCTTGGGTTTAAATTAATCTTTCACTTGGTCTTCTTTATTTCAGTATAGAAAACTTAGTTTTTAAGTGAAAAAGCTACGTCCAGGAGTTAAATCACCTCACTTTTAATTACTGAAAATTCAGGTCATGATCTCATGGTTTGTGGGATCAATCCCCGCATCAGGCTCTGCTGCCAGTGCGGAGGGATGCTGCTTGGGATTCTCTCTCTTCCTCTCTGTCCTTCCCCTGCTTGCATGAGCACACTCTCTTTCAAAATAAATAAACAAACATTAGAAAAAAAAACTCAAAGAAATACAGTACACTCTTACATGAAAAGCACACAGTTGTTATTAAAAAATAGGTTTATATGTGTAGAAATGGAACTATTCCTAAGATCTAGTATTGCATTAAAAACAAATATAAAAAGTAAGCAGCAAAAGTGGTTATAGTATTATATTTGTTTTCAAAAGTGTGTGTGCGCGCAAGTGCGCATGAGTGCATACCACGAATATATATCCTCACATATGCACAAAGCACAGTGGTTGTCTCTGTGCAGCAAGGGAAGGTTATGGCAAGAAAAAACTTAACAAAAAACTAATTTAAATTTTAAAATGCTATTCACAAACTAAGTTTTGTAAGGCTCACTACCCACCCATTGTACATAAAACAACCATGTTTAGAGTGGAAAGGTATTGGTACCTATGGCAGTGCTGTAAAAGAAATAATCTTTGTTATTGGTTTATTATGCTGATAATTACCTTTGAAAAATACTTTCTAAAAACTGGTAATTTTGGAAATAAAACAAGAACCCTGGGTACATAAACACAAGAAAGGGAATCATTTCTAACACAGTTCAAATATACTAAAAGTAAGGGTATAGCATTAAAATGTTAATGACTAAGCCTCAATCCCCTCTTTGTAAAGTGAAACAGCATTCAGTTGTAAGAATTAAATGAGTCAAAGAAAGTTAAGTATTTAAACAGAATGGTGGGCACATAATTATATTACTATTAAAACTGGTCATTAAGATGTTCTAATTTTTCACAGTTCTGCTACTTAGTACTGGGAGAATAATTCTAAAATGAATCAATTTCATTCTACAGTGAATTCAATCTCAAATACTATAATGAGTTCAATTCCAAATTCAATTTGAAGATTTTACAATGCAGTTGTGCAAAAATCCTCCTCACAGTTAATATTTGCAGCTAGCACTGTAGAAACAAGAACCTTTTTTACGGTGGTGGGCGAGAGCATCAAAAGACAGAAAATACATTCTCGACATCAGAGTTTAGCATAATGGGTTTTTATTCTTTTTAAACCATGAAAACATGTCTTCAGCCTATCCACTGAAATAAAACTCCTGGGATGTTAAATTTCATGGTGAAACTTGAAATGCCTTCAAAGGATAAAAGACTTTTTCCTGTCTCTCATTCACCAACAGAATTCAGCTCCTCCTTGTGGCTACATACTATAATTGCTTCTTAGAGACTCCCCAAGTGAAATTAAGATATTCTTCCCTCAAGTACAACTTAGACATTTCAAATTTTTGAAGTTTATCAACAAAACCACAACCAGGGTGGGCTACTTCACTCATACCATATTTATTACTTGCTAGTTTTTATGGAGTGATAAAAACAAATTCAAAAGTAGAAGAGCTCCAACTTAAGTTTCTATCAAAATATTCTTTCCCCAAACTAGAAGCCTTAAGTAGAACCTCAGAGGGTAAAAGGAAACAAAGACAAAGAGCTTCTGCCACGGAAGACAGCCCAGCTGATCCCTGACAAAGCGAAAGAACTGAGGTGATATGTAGAGAGATTAAAGGATCAGACTGTGTCACCTTTTGCAGAAGGCTTTGGAAAGCCACTTATTATCAAGAACCCAACACTGGTCGAGCTAAGCCATCGAGAGACTTGCAGTTAGGAGCCCAAAGATGCCTTTAGTTGACAAGGACAGGTCAAAGAGAATTCAGCATGAGAAGTTAAAATGGCCAGGATCGACAGCCAACCAATCACCTGTGGGGGAGCCTGGAGAATCATCAAGAACTGCAGCAATGAAAACAACATTCTGAATTATTTGCTCCGAATAATGCTGGCAATAGGGAGGAATGGATTAAAGCAACCAAATGACCTATTAGTTTACAAAATGATAATTGCATATTAAAAACCTCTGACATCTCCTGAGAAAATACTAACATTAATATTCCTATTATTTTCCCTTCTGTGCCCCTTTGGTCATATTTTACATAGTTTTGAACTCTGGCGAAGAACTATACTGCAATGTCTCAAAGTTCACAAATTAACAAACAAGACTGTTGAGCAAATTACAAACCACACTGACTTTTCTAGCTAGCACAAAGAGATTTTTTTTTACCTGTGCAGGTGTGTCTGTTTCATTGATTGGCTGCCCATCAAATCGGAATCTGATCTGCCTCATTGACAAACCCTACAAGAGAGTTTAAAAACAGTAAGAATGCAAAGAAAACAGTAAAAACTGAAACCATATGCATATTTAGCCACAAATATATTAAAAGAGGGACCCAAATAAATAATCAATACATTAACATTTCTATGTGGGTAAAAAGATTTGGTAGGATTTTCACTTTCTTTGAACCATGTTTGTTTTTCTTTGGAAAAGTGATCTTTTTTAAAAAAAAGGTCTTTTTAAAAAAGCTGTTTTGCTTTTGAGATCCAAGCTTGGATATATCATATACCTTGAGTCAAACAGTACATATAAATGAGTTAGAAAGATATTGAAAAGAAATTTAAAGTTAACAGATACAGCAACATTCTTCCATCCATGTTAAAGAGCTCTCCAAATGGGGGGGGGAAACACCCTTCATAATGAAAACTGGAATTCACCTAAGTAAGTGTAAAGATTAAGTTTGCCTTAAAGCCACTTTACCTTCATTTCTATCCAAACAGCTCCTATCGCTAAGCAAAAGTAACCTGTGTCCCAACCCAGCACCATGCTAGAGACACCACAGGAATTCAACAAGTTTTTACCCTCGGGCAGGCAGGACATTCCCACTAGAACTGTCCTAAAATCATTCATAAGCACACAAGCTTGGAACTATGGAATAGTTCAAAAGAAACACCTGCTTTGTAAATTCCATTTTAGTATTTACCCAGACCAACAATTACTATTTGTCAACCTCACTACAAAGTAAGCTCCAAGAGGGACAAGAACCTAAGACTGTCTTGGTTATACTGTATTCCTCGCACATAGTTGGTACTCACAGGTATAAGTTACTGATGGAATAAAATGGATGAAATGCAATATCATGATTCGTTTTACCATGATTTGTTTTATTTAAAAGTACACCTAAAACTAAGTTAAGGAGTAGCTTCATTACAAAAAGAGAATGTAAAATTTATATTACTAGAGTTTAGCTTCAAGAAATTTTTATGTTTTTAAGGAGATAAATGAGCCTGAGCATGCCCCTTCTGCAAAGCAGATTCCGATGTTGTACTCATCATTACCTACCTGACACAGGGGTAGGAAGAAGGGGAAAGGAGCAAAAGCAGCAAAGCTGTTGGGAACTGCAGCCAAATGAAGATAGGAAAATAAACTATCTTTGGAGATATGTATGGAGATACTATGTGTACATATTAACTGGAAAAATAGCATAGGAAGCATCCTACAAAAAAAAAAAATCACTCCTGTATCATACTCAAATTACAAACTGTAATTATTGTTACACAGAACACTCTGCTTTAATTTACTTAAGAAAAAATTAAACTGAATTCCTAGGACTAGAATACTGAAACAAAGTGCTCAATAAATACTTAGAGGACACTTGTATTCCTTTAACAAGGATTCACTATATCTGTCTTTAAAACTACTTCTAACATGAAGATCATGTTACTTTCCTTTACAAACCCTGGTCTTTGACACTAACACTTTCAGACTAGCCTGTCTTAAGGAATACAAGCAATTCCCAGACCAGATAAGGGATATCCATAACCTTAATTCATTTCTCATGACATCCAAATTTAATTTGTAATTATGCAAAGCAACCAAGAATTAAATGCCAAGCCATTAAGTACTAATTACATATTTGCAAACACTCCATTGAAAACCCATTACTTTAATAAAATACTAAGCCATATGCTGGATCTTTCCTCTACTACATCTACTAGTACGGTCCTAGGTCAATGGCATGGCCGTTCAAAACAAGGGGGGCTGGGGGGAGCACAGTCCAGAACACACATCGTATTCCTTCATGCTTTTCCTTATCAATAAAAGCTTTTATTTCGCCACAGATCAAAAACCAAAACCCAGGAAACTTGCCTTTCCAATTCCATAAATGACGTCAACTCAAACAATGAATTTATGTTAAACCAGTATTTGGGTTCCACTTCTGAATAAATCGTATCTCTGAGCTTTGGCTTCAGAGATGTGCCACAGAAGAGCTGTGTGAGGTTATCTCTTTGGATCCCCATTTCTTCATTTCACAAAAATGAACTGGAATAAACCAATGAATCAATCTATGCTCTCTGAAAGTCACAGTAAATGCACACTAGAATGAAGTAGTATGCTCTCAGCAGAAGGCTACACGGTGACAAGTGGGCAAACTCTAATTCTTCATGTGAATAGAAAACTTCTTCACAATCAACCTCTGGAGACAGTTTGAATGTCCTCTATCATTTTACAAGCATTTACTGAACACGTTCTATAAACCAGGTACTGGTCTAAGCTCTAAAGAAATAGTAAACAAGAAGACCCCATGCTCATGAAGCTTACATTTTAGTGCAGAGACAAATATACATCAATGCAAAAAACAGCTGAGAGGACCAAGTGATGGGAGCAGAGACACTCTGAATTAATCAGAAAAGTCTCCCAGGTTAGTGACTGAGCAAGAGTGGAATAAAATGGTTGAGGGCTTGGCACTATCCAACACAAACACAATGTGGCAGCTCTTTCTGCCCAAAAGGTCCTGTCCCTGTGCTTTAATTACAACCACCTTTTTGCACCGGGGGATATGGATGGATGGATGGATACATATGTATATGCGCCACATATGCAATTTTAAAACTCCCAATTGCCACATTAAAATCAGGTAAATATTGTTTTAACTCGACATACTCAAAATCCTATTATTTTAGCATGTAACTAACATCTGAAAAGGTGAGTACTTTACTTTTTTCTCCACTATGAGTTTTCAAAATCTGACATATACTGTGCACTATACAACACATATTAATTTGGACTAGCCATGTTTCAGGTGGTAAAGTCACATGTGGCTTGTGACAGCACACTGTTGAGTTTTGAACAGCACAGGTTTCAGTAGAGAACAGAATTTGTTGGTGGATTTTATTATAGGAGTTATGAAGCATCATCAGGATGATCCCAAGTGTCTGACCTCCCACCTAGATGCTCAGTTTGAGATGCCTATTAGACATCTACTACAACTCCTCCAAAGATCTGAGGCCAAATGAGTTCAGCAGAAAGTATGAGCATTCAATTAATCTGGATAAGAAATCCTTACTCAAGAATCCTCAACTGTCAAAAAACCAAACCAAACCAAAACAAAACCTTTAGCTATGCAAATTAGGTTGCATAAATATTTTAGACTTTTGAAAGGCTCTATCTACACTTAAAAAGCAAGTAATCAGGGGCACCTGGGTGGCTCAAAGTCAGAGCATCCCACTCTTGATTTCGGCTCAGGTCATGATCTCATGGTTCATGGGATCAAACCACTCCCATTCTCTCTCTCTCCTTCTCTCTGCCCCTCTCCCACCTGCTCATACTCTAAATAAATACATTAACTTAAAAAAAGAGAGGGGAGTAGAGAATCAGCCCAATTAGGTGATACTTCTTCAACTCCCTCCTTCTTAGAATGAGAGAAATAAACATTTGAAAAGTAAACAGGAATCTTGTTTCAGTCAAAACTCTGAGGTTATTCTCAACTTAAAAGGAAATTGAGAACAAATCTTTTCAAATTCTTCCTGGATCATATCTTTAAATCATATCTGCATTCTAAGTGATATGCAGAATTACATTTTTTATGGATTACCAATGCTTCTTTTTCCCATACTGCAAACTGAGTGGCCCCAAGTTTAGTCAACTTAAACCTAACTGAAAAAATTCACAAAAAACTTTATTTACATGAGTAATACACTAAATTTAACATACCAGGAAAACCCAAAAGCTCTTGATTGACCAGCTAACTCAATCTCATAGATCTCTTATAAAGACAATCTGCAACACAGGATGTGCTCTGTGTCTTTGTTTTTCTGGCACATAGTATAATGCCCTGGCACATGGTAAGTATCTGGTAAATATCAGGTAAGCAAAAAAAACTCTTTTGAGGCCCTAACAGGAAATACAGGAAGTCTTAAATATGAACATTTTAGGATGAAGAATCAATAGATATGTATAATAAAATATTAATAGTTAAATCTAGGTGGTGAGCACATGAGCATTCAATGTATTTTCAACTGTGCACTACGTTGGGAGTTTTCATATTAAGTGTTGGAAAGTATGACCATCTAAAACCTAAAATTTATCGGGCATCTGGGTGGCTCAGTTAGGCAACTGACTTCAACTCGGGTCATGATCTCACGGTTCATGGGTTTGAGCTGCATAGGGCTCTCTGCTGTTGGCATGGAGCCACTTCAGATCCTCTGTGCCCCCCCTTCTGTGCCCCTCCCCCAGTTGTCCCCCCATAAATAATATAATATAAAATAAAATAAAACCTAAAATTTAGTAACGAGAAAAAATATGCAAAGAATTTTGTTGAAAACCACTAAATCTATGCATGCTTCTATTTTGCAAATGGTGTGCTCCGTAAAAGTTCTACAAGATGATTACCTTTTAAAATCCCCCTCTAACCTGAGGGGGCACTAGTGTTCAAATATGTTAAGATGCTAGAGCAAAAATTCTTTAGCACAACTAGTAAGTACATATTTACTAGTTGTTTAAGGGGATTTCACCAAAATTCTTCAAACAAGAGTACACTAAAAACTCTGTCTTTCCAGGGAGCTGTAAAATTAATTTATATGGTGAAGATAAAAGCATTATAAGCACATTCTCACTATAAATTATTATAAATACACCAGACATAAAATAAAGCTTCAATCTCAAAAAGAAGTTTATTTTCAGTTTCTTCCAAATGCCCTTAGATCTCATGGAGGAAGTCCAACTATGAGCTCAAACTCAACCTCTCAACTTCTGTAGGTTTAAATCTTACTCTATTTTGAGCCTATTTTTAGGACAATTTGCAATGCTGACAACTGATTTTAGTCTAAAAGAATGGTTTTCCCAACTTTTACATGTTACGTATTCAGGGTTGAATAAAAAAATACTTCTTCCAGGTTATTGTTGAATTAACTGATCTAGGTACCAGAGTTTTTGTTATACTTGCAAAAGTCATCTTTAAAGTTGCCTCTGTATTGTTACAGACTCAACCTCACTAAAGGAAGCTTCTTTGTTTTAAAGCCGGCATTCAACTCACAGCATCTATTCATTACTTCCTCTTTTTGCTGTCTATTTACTAATTCCTGAGTAAAATGCAAATGTCCCTATAACATAGGAATGTTTTTGTCTGACTCAGGAGGTTAACTTTCTTTCTTGACCTCTACTATTAAAAAAATATAACAATTTTATATGGTTCAGGAAAACTGCAATGTTGCTAAACTCACAATTTAACTTTATTTCCAAACTGGTTTAAATGCTCAAAATAAATTGTTTTGACACCACACAAATTTTAAATAGACTTAAAAAAAAAAAAAAAAAGAGAGCCTGACAAGAAATTTTATCAAGTTCATCCTTATTTTCTTATAAAAGTAAAATCACATCCCTTCGGGAACTAATCGCATGTTGTCATAATTTGATGCATTCTGGCACAGTACTAGAATCATAGAGCATATTAGCCAAACCATTCTAAGGATTTTCACGAAGCATCAACATACCAAGGGTATGATAAAATTGATATGTTAAGTATATAAGTGCATTCATTCAACCAAAGAAGTCTATTATAACATTATGCCAGTCTAGTATCTACTCTCAAAAAAAATAAGGTTTTTTTTAAAAACACGTTTTATGGGAAGTGCATATGTCATTTCCTCACCTGTCGTTCACAATAGGCTTTCATTAGTTTACTAAGTGGTGTATGCCTCTTAATCTTAAACTGCACCACAGAACCATCCTGCCCCGCCACCTTCAAATTAATATGATCGTTGTTCTCAGTCTTGACTCCTTCCTGTTGAAAGAAAAATAAAAGTGTAATTTGGAAAATGTGAAAAACAAACACCTTTTAAAGTAGCAGCAGCCCAACTTGCTTCAGTAATCAACAGGTTTCTCATTCTGTATGATAAAAGAGCATACAGCTGTTTTCGGCCGCTGAAATCAATCTGAAAGATGAAAAATCCTGGAGCAACGACATTAAATAGCTGTCATAGAAACAGAAAAGAAGCTTTAACATGTAATACCATCAGCGATAACAATCGATTTTTACAGATGGGTCCCACTCAAGAACTCTTAAATCTGAATTTTCTAAAAGAGCATATTTTGCATCTCTCTCAAAATATGTGTTTGCCCCGAAAAGATTAAAAATAAGTGTCTTTTCCCTTTATAAAGTGCTTTAAGTACCGAATGCAAGGATAAAAATCTAGAACTTGCAACTAATAACTCATTACAACTCTCCTGTTAAAAAGTTACAAACTCTGTTTAGGAACTTAAATCTCAACTACATTAAAAAAACCTAACTGATGAATACCCGTCGGTTCTCTCTTCAAGCAGCGGTAATAACTTAGAACCACTATTAATGTTCGCCTCTATGAGCAGCCTCATTTTTGTTTATTTTCAGTCAGAGCTCTTACTCTCCCCTCCCCTTTGTTGTCATGGGTCAAATGCAGTTTTCTTGCAACTCTTCCTTGTAAATTTCGACCCTACCTGAAGTTCACCAAAATCAAGAGTAGATGGAAATCTGTAGCCCCCAAATCACTTCAGAAAGGAAGGGGG